GGGAACGGGACCGGCGCTGCCGTCTCGCTGCGCGGCCCCGCGGCTCCGGGACTTGGGGCTTCTCCTTCTCGGGAACGAAGGGAAAGATTGCGGGGGATCTTGTCTGCACACCGAGATTTTGTTTTATTTTATAGCTTCTGTCTTTTTTATCTTTCTCTCTTTCTTTTCTCTTTCTTTCTTTTCTTTCTTTTCTTTTTCTTTTTCTTTTTCTTTTTCTTTTTCTTTTTCTTTCTCTCTCTTTTTCTTTTCCTTTATTTTTTCTTTTTTCTTTCTTTATCTTTCTTTCATTCTCTCCTTTTCTGTCTCTCCCTATTTTCCTCTTTGCCTTTCTCTGTGTCCTGTCTTCCTTTCCTTTCCTTTCCTTTCCTTTCCTTTCCTTTCCTTTCCTTTCCTTTCCTTTCCTTTCCTTTCCTTTCCTTTCCTTTCCTTTCCTTTCCTTTCCTTTCCTTTCCTTTCCTTTCCTTTCCTTTCCTTTCCTTTCCTTTCCTTTCCTTTCCTTTCCTTTCCTTTCCTTTCCTTTCCTTTCCTTTCCTTTCCTTTCCTTTCCTTTCCTTTCCTTTCCTTTCCTTTTTTCCTTTTTTCCTTATTTTCTTTCCTTTCCACTTTTCTTTCCTGTCCTTTCTTTCCAGTTCCTCTCCATCCCCGTCCCCTCGCTGTCCCCGCCGCGATGCCCCAGGGGGTCCCGGGGGCCGGGCCGGCCCGGAGGAGCCCAGATTAGGGTTTATCTGCTCGGCACCGACCCCTCGCTTGGCTCCGGGCTACGGCGGCTCCGCCGGGAATTGCTCCGCCGGGAATTGCTCCGCCGGGAGTTGCGGCCGCTGCCGAAAAACCGTGGGGTTCCCCGCTCCGGCCCCGCTCCCGCTCGGAGCCCGCAGCCCGCACGCCGCCTCCTCGGTCCTCTGCCTGCGCCGCTCCCTGCCCTTCCACCTGCCCGCGTCTGCCCTTCCTCCAGTGCCTCCTTCCCGTCCTGCTTTCTTGCCTTTTCCTTCTTTTTTTCGTTCTTTCGTTCTTACTTTTTTTTCTTTTTTCTTTATTTTTTCTTCCTTTTCTCTTTCTTCCTCTTCTTTCTCCTCTTGCTTTCTTGCTTTCCTTCTCTTCCTTCTCTCTTTCTTTCCCTCTCCATTTCACTCTTTCTTTTCCTTTTTGTCTGTCTTATTTTTCTTTCTTGCTTGCTTGCTTCTCCCTTTTCCTCTCTTTTTTTTTCCCCCCTGTCACTTTCTTAGGCTGTCTCTCTCTTTTCCCTTTTTTTACCTTCTTTTTCTCTCTTCCTTTCTCTTTTTCCTCTGCCTCCCCCCTTCTCCCTCTCTTTCTTTCCTTCTCTTTTCCCATCCCCTCCCGTTGCCCCCGTGCCCAGCCCCACCACAGGGCTGAGGGCAGCCGGGGAGGGAGCACGGCCATGCCATGGGCACTGCGGTGCTCAGGAGGGGGTGAATGCTGCCAGCTTGGGACAGGAAAGCTGTCCAGCCCCCCCCTCAATATCTCCATGTCTGTCCTCCCCATGTCCCAAGGCAAAAGAGGGTCTCCCCAACGTCCCCTCCTTGTCCCACAGAGAGGGGAGCTGCAGGGCTGGGGGTGCTGGCGTGGGACCCTGACTCCTCTCTCTGCCCGCAGGGAGCGAGGTGTCCCAGGAGAGCCTGCTCCTCCACGGCCCCTTCGCCCGGAAACCCAAGCGCATCCGCACCGCCTTCTCGCCGTCGCAGCTCCTGCGGCTGGAGAGGGCCTTCGAGAAGAACCACTACGTGGTGGGCGCCGAGCGCAAGCAGCTGGCCAGCAGCCTCAGCCTCTCCGAGACCCAGGTACCCCCCGGCAGCCTCCCACCCGCCCGTCCCACAGCCGCCAGTCCCACTGTCTGTCTGTCCATCTGCCGGTGGTAGCAGCTCAGCATCAGGCGGCAGAAACAGTGCCGGCCCCGTGTAGGGCTGGGGCTGTGCTTTGAAATATCCCGGCTGGGTTTGTCCAGGAATCCTGCGTGGAAACCGTGGCTGAACCGTGTGGATTCGTGTGGGCTCAGGGTGGGTTTGAGGGTTTTTTTTTTTGCCACGGGGTTAGCTGGGAGCCAGGCTCCCAGGCATTAAGGACTCGATCTCGCGTCGTGCCACTCTCCAGAGAGATTTGCTGGTGTTAATTCTTTCTTGCTTGGGGTGTTTTCCCACAGCAATATATGGTTTTAAAAATCCAGTTAAAAAAGGAGCAGCAGCATGAGACCCTTCCCCAGGGAGCTGCAAAAACACGCCTCAGTCGTGCGGCTTTGGTTTTGTACACAAACACCGCGGTGCCCGACAGTCAGGATGGGTACAAGGATGGGTGTCTGCCGACGGGCGCTTATTTCAGCTGCAACTTTCTGATTTTTAGAAAAGACATTTCACGGGCATTTAGAAATGATGACACCCGGGGGGACCGTAGGGATGAAAGATAACGGAAGAGCATACAGTGCTGGGGGAAAACAGGGGAGTCGGGGCCGAGCATCTCTGTGCGTGTCCAAGCCCAGTGTCCTGGTGAGCAGCTATTCCCAAACGCTCTGGGTGAAGGCACGCCGTTTCCCATTGTATTCAGTAACTGAGTCGATGGAGAAAGTTGTCTCCGAATTCTGGCTAGGTAGTTTGGCCTATATTCTAAATTAATTTAATTTTTATCCTTTAATTCAATTGGAAAATAAAGCTGGAGTCGTGGGTGTTCCCGGTACCCGCCTGGCTCATCCTTGCCGAGGCTCTGCCAAGCAAAACCTCCAAATACATCTCTGCAAGAGGGAAGTTACGGGGAGGAAAATGTCACTGTCATGGGGACAGTGGAAAACCTCAGGTGCGGACATAGGGAAGGATGGACCGAGCCCCAAAATCCAGAGGCCATTTGTATCCTGATGCCGATGCTATCCTGACTCGCCCAGCCCCACGGCTCGCAGGGCACGGCAGTAGCTGCCACCCCAGCTCAGGTCCTTTCCTTGCTGCTTCTGTCACCTCTCCGGGCTGAAAATGATGTTAAAGGAAAGGAAAAAAAAACAAAACCAAACAAAACTCAAAGGTCAAAGAACAAACAGCAACTTGCCCAGGCGGAAAGGGCAGCTGCGGGATGCCCGAGGGGGAGCTCAGCGAGTCCCTCGGATTTTGCATCATTGCCCCGAGCCTAAATGCAATAATGCAATTTATTGGGGAAAAAAGCAGAGGCATCCATCCCTAAATCCGTGCGGAGATTTAGAAAGGGAAAG